TTTGTTTTTTTCCTCCAAAATTCTGTGATCGTTCTACTAAATTTCTGGCTACCACAGTAAGGGGCTCATTAAGGTAATACAACATTCATGATTATTGTTATATTTTAGTCACTTACATTTTTTCTTCATGATCAGATAGCCTGAAATGGCAATAAATAGAAGTGACAAAACAAGTAACACTGTCACAACGGCAGTCAGTCCAGAATGGTGTCGTGTGCATTCATCTGAAAACAGGAACACATTTAATTGTGTGTAAGTAACCTCCATATTATCCAATTATTATATTATGGAAAAAAGCAACTATTATACAATTTGAATTTGAAATATTGTATAATATATTTGAAATACCAGAGACTCTTTAACAGTTTAACTTGCTAAAACACGTTCTGGCAGTTACTTACAAGGGGGTCTTCAGTGCAAGATTACAGGTGACCAATGTCCAAAAATTATTGGAAATTAAGAATTTTAAATTGGTCATCGGAACAGGAATAGAGGGTAAATCATCCAGTAGGAACACTTCTTCTGCTGACAACAGTCTAAAGGGGATTTTCCATCAATTTGTAGAGCTTTCCTCTTACTTCCTGTTCTATTTCCAGGACAGTAAGTAAAGGAAAATCTCACCAAAGGAGAAAAAGATTTGGCAAGGATGTTAAATTTCCCTAAAGAAAAATCTAAACAGAGATATTTAAACATTCCCTACTCTATCCAAAACTAAAAACAGTGTGCTTTAGATACACTTTAAGCCTAAGGGGTTAATTTATAAACAATTTGCAGGGTAGTTCATCCTAGAAAATATCTGTAAGCATTTGTCTGTGCTAATATATTGTAGGGAACCAGTCTCAATGTAGAGTCAAACTCGCAGTCTCTTCAACAAAAATGCCAGCTTTAATTCCAGGCAGCAATCAATTGACAAAAAAAAAAGGTTACAGGCATCCAGCCAAAAATGTAAATTGTCATAAACAAATAAAAGTCTGCTCCACTGAGCCTTACTGGGTATTAGCGATAGTCCGCTGAGCTGGGCCCGTTTCCTTTATGGGAACATTTACAGTCCTTCGACAGAACCCTGTCCTGCTGACAGGCTTGGCTCCAAAAACATAACTTGCTGCATTCAGCACACTGTCTCTCCTTGCACTGAGACACACACTCCCCCCCCCCAAAGCTAGGTGCAGCTGCACACTAATGAAGTTCTGTGCAGTCTTCCCTAAACTACGGTCCATGGAACTAGGAGTCTGTCCCACCCAGAGCTCTATCAGACTCCTAGTAACACCAGCCCCAGGATTTGTTTTACCAATACAAGGTAAAGAGCTATTTTTCTTTACCTCCAATTCTATGCTGGCATTACCTTAGATGATGAATCTAAGGATCCGTGGAGAAATGTATCTACCATCTATCACTTTTCCTGCCAACCTGGCAGGTTTTACTGGCACCATGTTACAATATGTATAAATAAACGTTCTCTAGTTTTTTCCTTTAGGGGTGTAATTAAATATAGGGGGTTATTCACAAAGGAGCCAAAGGATATAGCCATAGCTTCGACTGATCCTTCAACTCACTTTGGCCGCCTGAGCCCTTGTGTTCAGTAGAACCGAAGGGCTGCTGTACCTGCTATTAACAATAGCCTGTACAGCAGCCGAACAGCTCAGCCGAGCCAGAGCATATGCGAAGTCACAGCCGAAGCAGACTATATTCTCCCTGTAAATGTAAATAAAAAGAAAAACATGGCGTGGGGTCCCCCTCCCTATTCATACCAGGCCCTTTAGGTCTGGTAGGAAAGTTAGGTGGCACCCCCCCCAAAAAGTAAAAAATAAAGTGTGTGGGGTTCCCCCCAAAGGTCATCCCAGGTCCTTTGGGTCTTGTAGGAATTTCAAGACCGCCCGCAGACCCCCACAACATCTGGGTCAGGGTTGTGGAGGAAGAGGCCCTTGTCCTCATCGGCATTGGGACAAGGTATTCTTCCAGGTTGGACACTGGTAAAGCACCCTCCCAATGCTGAGGGCATGTGGCCTGGTATGGCCCGGGGAAGGGGGTGGGGGGGCGCTCGCTCATCCCCCCCCCTTTCTGCCCTGGCAGGCCTGGGCTCGTATTTAGGGTCTGGTTGGGAATTTTAGGGGAGACTCCACATTTCCCTGTTTTTTGGGGGTGGGGTTCCCTCTTAAAATTCCTATCAGACCTAAAGCGTCTGGTATGAATTGGGAGGGGGACCCCAAGTTTTGTTTTTTTTTCTTCCTTTTGTTTAAATTTTTTTTATTCTGCTCGCTACCTCGGAGGCATTGGGGGCAAGAATAGGGTCGAACGGCAGCCATTGAACTGCTTGGCGTCCGACTCAGCTGACCCAGATTTTAGTTCGGCTGAGTCGAACGGGTTCTTCACTTCGGCTCAGTCATACTAGAAGTGGATCGCTGAACAGTGTTCAGCTCACTTCACTTTGTCTCGGTCAGTCACTCGGCTGCCATTGGCAGCTTAGCGAATAACTCCCTTAAAGGAGAACTATGGGGTCAGGGCTTTTCCCAATAGTTCTCCTAAGGGTCACGGGAGAACACAAACTAACGTTCTCCCGTGACCCAAGGCTCAGTATACCGCGAACTACAGAGGTATACTGAGACGTCGCAGCCAGAACGGATCCCGACATTGCTGTGGAGATCCACCCAGCTGCCGGATTGACAGCTGGCTCTGCCAGTCCGTTCCTCCAGTCAGCGTTGGAGGATCGGACAGGGGTGGGGGGGAATCCCAGGAGCCGTGAGTGACAGGGATAGATCGAGAAGTGAGCGAGCGATGCTATGTGTTCGCTCACTTCCCGATCTACTGAGCCAACCTGTGACAGTTTCATTGTCACAGGTCAGCTCAGATTATGAGGCTGAGTGAAAATCACTCGCCTCATAATTCTCCTTTAATGTTCTGAATGTAATATCTCATAATAGCCCCTGGATGGTACTAAAGATGCATAGGAAGTAAGTATTTATTTTCTGTGCTCCTCAGTCCCATCAAGGGGGTATCATTAAAATGTTCAAATTAAAATACACTTGTAAAGGAAAAAAACTAAAGAACGTTAAATTGTGCATATTTTCGCAGAGGAAGAATACTCACAGATTTTCGAAGGGCAAGTAGCTTATAATTCAACCCCTAAGTGTCAATATAATACAAACAATCTAATACATTTTAACACACTACACCAGACTGTCAAAATTATTATTATCACCAGTCCTGTTTGGTAGCAGTATGACTTCAATAGCTCAGTTTGACTTTACAGCTTGAATATACCCTGTTTCCCTGAAAATAAGACCTACCCCAAAAATAAGACCTAGTACTATTTTTGGGAATTGCTAAAATATAAGACCTACCCTGAAAATAAGACCTAGTTGTGACCATTCCCAGGACTGCTGGTGGCATAAGGGGGAACTTGAAGAGCCGCGAGAGAGAATCAGCGGTGCCAATGAATGCAAAGGTATGGCACCCCTGATTGCCCTGATCACACTATTCTTAGCTTTGGATTATTTAATTTGGATTTGCATTGACTTTGGATTGTTATACATTAAAAATAAAAATAAGACCTACCCCGAAAATAAGACCTAGTGTGTTTTTTTGAGCCAAAAAAAATATAAGACAGTGTCTTATTTTCGGGGAAACACGGTAATTATAAGGATTTTATCAGATTTATCTATATATCTGGCAAATCAGAAATACACAAGCTCGCTACAACTAGTACAATTTTATAGCTGTTTGTGAGCAATAAAAACATGGAATGGAGGTTCAGATACTGACCATGTTATCTGTCACATTGATTTCTCCATTCCATTAATTTCTCTGATTTTAAGTCAAATAATTTTTTTTTAACCAATTTAGAGATCCAGTTCCATCCGACCGTCATTTGGTTCCCATACCTCCAAGAACCCCTGCTATAACACAACCTTCCATTGCCTGAACCCCAAACAACCTACTCAGGTTGGGGTTGCCCTTAACCAACCTGCCCTCTCAATTTTACCCTTACCCTAACATTCCCTTAACAATTGACCTAATACTTACATTTAATTCTTGTCCCTCCATACACAAACTAAAACCTAACCCTTAAAACCTAACCTCCTGGTCCCTGATCCAGCAGTGGCAGACATACATTATCCTTAACAACCGTTCCTGGCCAACATAATATATGGATGTTGCTTCAGAAGATTTAACAGCAGGAAGGAATTTCTCACTCCTGGCCAGAATGTGTTTTTATCATGGATCCACCCATAGAGAGAAACGGTTTTAATTATCTTTGGATTAATGAGGACTCCTATTTCCTGTAAAACTATAATTTCTTTGTTGCTTCTGAGATCTGTTCCTGCTGCTGTGTCTGGCATCATGTATGAAGACTCTCCATTGGAGGAAGTGGAACTGACAGCTCATTCTGATTGGAAGATGAAAGTGTACCAAAGTGGTAAAATTTGGTATAAAATTTCACAATGGTGGATTTTTACATCTCAGCTCCACTGTCATGAATTATTTTACATACCTGGTCAACTAATCATCCCTCAACCACATCTAAATTTATGGGTTTAAAGCAGAGGGCCTGGTTTACTTTTCCCATTCTGCATAAGAGCATTTTTTTTCAGGTCCAACTTGAAACAATTCCTAATACAAACCCAAACGTTTTTCCAGGAAGCAGCTTTAAAGGGTTGTCCATATGCTGGTAAAATATCTGGATCATACAGTCTACTCTTCTCCCCCATCCTCTTTATCGTGGTAATGAACAGAAAGCCATGCTTACCGCCATATTGCACTGTGAAGGCATCTTGGATGGGCCCTTGTAGAGACACATGTTCCACCTGACAGGCTATGGATGGATGATCCTGGATCTGAGCAGGAGTGAGGACCAATGAGCTCTTCACTTTGTAAGTCCCATCAGCATTTGTTTGATAAGCCCCCATTTCTGATCTGCCCAGGATTGGAATATTATTCCATAGCCAGGTGACTTTGACCTCCTGAGGGAAGAAGCCCGAGATAAAGCAATAAAGAGGGTTTTCCTCATCCTTACAAAGAGCTTTTCTTTGTATCCTGACCTCTGGTTTAGCTGTAAGAGAAATAACAGCATTTTAAGGACATTCTCCATGGATTGCTACATTGAATCCACAAGGAAGCCAATTATACCATCACGAGCTACTAGTGGATTCTTCACAGTATATGGAATATGCATTCTGAACAACGGCAACAGGAAGATAACTCACAGTAATTAGGACAGGAAGTGAGAGGGAGTTTGCCCGAAAAGAACCTAGAAGGCAAAAAATTCCATGCCATGGAGAGCTGGAGCAGCAGAAAAGAGGCCTCGCCTCCTAGTTAGAATTATGGTCATTTAATATAAACTTATTTATACATTGTCATCATATTTTAAGTTAGGTTAGAGCCAATAAAAATACAATTTTATTTTTAAAGTACATGTGTTTAGCCAAAGCATTTTTATTCAGTTTTGGATAGAGAAGTGTTAAATCTGAGCTCCGGCCTTCCCTTCAGTCTTGCAAAGTTGTCCCGGCTCCTCTCCTGGATTGAAATTGCTTCCTCTGATGTCACTGCACGCCGGGAGCTTCTCACAATGTGCATTAGAAGCTGCAGCAAGTCATTAAAGCTCTTATTTTCTGGCTGGAGGGTGTCCAGCATCACTGTCCCTGGCCCACCCCTTTCAATCTATGGATTTCAGTTCTTTCGATCATGGGGGCTCAGCATCACATGTGAGTATTACCTAGGTAGCTCTACATGCAAATACAGCCTGCCTAGGAACACCCACTCCTCCGAACAGACACTCACCCATTAAAGCATTTTCATATTTGCATACTTCCTTCCAAAAACCAGCCCACTACTTGCTTCAGGGCTGAGGGAGGGCCCTTGAGAGTAATACTGAGGCAGAGTGATTTGACGTTTTCAGGAAGCAATGTACAGCACCCTTCCAGTCGCTCCGAGCAGCCATAATGTGCCTTCATTGCTTGGAGAAGCATAGAGACCCAGTGATGACAGCACTGGATCTAAAATAAGGTATGTAATGAATACAGAAAGGTTTTATCTAAAACTACTTCATTAGCATGTTGATGTCCTTTTATGTCTGTGTCCCATTGGGTAGATTATCCCATTCTTCCTGTCCTATCCCCCTCCACTCTATCCAAATCTAGCAAAACTAGATCCTTTTCTCTGCATTCATTGCAGGACACAGCAGAGATCCTTAGATCCTAGCCATTGTGTTATAGCGCCACCTTCAGGAGTAGGACACTAGGCATAAAAAAGGTACAGCCTAGGGGCCGTCCCCTGCAGGTTGCCAACAGCCCATCTCTTAGAGGTAGCTCAGTTAGTCACAAAGCAGTACATATAGCACAACTGGTCACATACATAAACAACCAGAGGAGTGGGTGGTGTGCCCTTGAATAAATGCAGATCTACCCTCTCTATCTCAAAGCAACGACTAGGCAATATCGGGGGGGGCGACCTAGATCAGGGAAACTGATCCCACAGATCTAACAGAACATCCATTTTACTGTACCTGGAGATAAACCATTAGTCTGTTGAGCCTGGGGGCAAGAAGGCCCAACCCCTGCATCCCCTACCGCACAAAAAACCTAAATAAATACCATCCTTAAAGGATTATTAACCCCTCCTTTATTTTTGCATATATGTAATGCTAGCAAGCAGTAGATATTTGCAATAAATTTTTTTTTAAAAACCCACTGTAACATCGTTATATACTTACCTGTGTCTTCCCACGCGCTCCCGTCCGAAAATGTGAAAATTCTCGGGCAGCCGCAAAGCATCTTGGTGCGAGCGAATGCGCGGTTCCGATTTTCGGCCGGGACGCGAGGAGAGACACAAGTTAAGTCTATGGATGCGTGCACCCGCATGCAGACACCCTAGGACATTAAGTGCCAGGAAGGACAGAGGAGTCAGCGCTGGATCGGAGAGCCGCCGCAGCGCTGGAGAGAAGGCAGAAAACATCAGGAAAGAAGAAGAAGATCGGATTAAGAGACATCATATAAGGTAAGTGCTGACATTAACATTGGGGGGGGGGAGGGAAAAAAATTCTGCCTATAATGTCACTTTAATTTAAAATAATATACACAAATGCAGTGTTACAAAGTTTACTTCAGAATAAACATTTTTGCAATTGCACTGCACTGGAACGCATGGCATTGCAGTACCTTGCATTACAGTGCAGGTGATCACACTCTGGGTGGGAGTTGCGTTTGGGGTGCCATTGAAATGAATGGCACTGCAACGCAGCTCCATCAGCAGAATTTGTCAGGTCAAAACCAAAAATTACTTTTTTCCCACCATTTATAATTGTATTATAAGCACATGGTGTTTCAATAGCTTCAGCCAGGGAATGATAACTGCCACGGGCAAGATTCTGCAGGCGGCAGGTAAATGTAAATACAGCAGGTAATGGGCGGGTGCAATAGCCAGCCTGCTGTTAGTCATTTCAAACTGCAATAGCCAATAACAAACTGGCTATTGCACCTGCCCACTGCTTGCTGTGCCCTCCTCCCAGCGTAGAGGAGAGAGCTTGGGGATCCAACCAACTAATCGATAATGAGAATAGTTGGTTGCAGCCCTACATCAAGTAACAAGTCACTCTGTCATATGTGCCCCCATGGGGAACACTCACAGGCTGCCCTTAGAGCCAGGACATGGGTGTTGCAGCCGACCCCTTGCAGGTTGAGCTGGGGGGACTCCAAGGATCTGTATCATCCAGCATGTCACCAAGCTCAGCTGTTGATTGAAGGTCTTGAGTTGCCACTAGCAGATGGGCGTTTGGCCACCTGCAGCGGGCAGTTCCAAGGCTGTACTTTTTGTTTTTTGCACCTAGGGTCCTACTCTTGAAGTTGGTAGCTATAACCCAACAGCCAAGATCCAAGGATCTCCACTGTGTCCTTCAATGAATGGAAGAGAAAAAAGTTTTTTTTCCATTAATACATATTTCGAGAGAGGTGATCATAGCAGCAGAGTGTTGTTTATGGAACCATGTCAATCATTTATATTCTTACCACGAACATCCAGCCTGATCTCCCTTTGTTTCCGGTCTGGAGTGTAGATGACCAAACACTTGTAGGTCCCCTGATCAGTGATGGTCACGTCGTGGATGGTCAGAGATGCGTTTCCCTTTCTGGCCTCCTGCTCATCAACTGAAAACCTCTCTTTGACCACTTTCTCCTTGTTGTCAAACCTCACCAGTTCTTCATTTCCATAATACCAGATTATCGCCAAGTACTGCGGGTTTATTGAAGGAGCTGCAATGCTGAAAGTACATGGCAAAAGAGCTGGAGAATGGAACGAAGCAACCTGAGCAGAAGGAGCAGTCACCTCCAGTCCAAGACCTGTAAGAAGACAAGGGAATTCATGTGAAGTGAGGGTGCATTCTGTGTATGAGTGCTACCACTGAAACAGCAGGCAAAAAACAATGGATGTTCTGACCCCCATACAGCCCACACTACACTTTGTTGGTGCTCGACCACAGTCCTTTCTCCAAACTGAATCCAAAGAATGTGAACAAGACAGCACTCTAATTATTCCTCCAAGATCTACTTTACTGAACAGATATACTGTATCTAATGCATTTAAGGAAGGACCATAGTCACAGCTATGACTAAGGCCAATCTGGGCTGAAACACGTAAGCCATATGTGTTATATGGGTGACTCGACTCATCAATAAAGTATATATCGGAGGATTATTTTGAGTGCCAGCTTGTTTACATTCTTGGAGCTGTATGCTTTGGGCTTGTCATCCCGGCTGAAGATACGGGTAAACAACGCGATTTAACAGCCTTTGAACGTGGGATGATTGTTGGCGCTCGGAGCCATGGAGCGAGTATCAGCAAAACAGCAGAATTCGTTAAATGTTCAAGAGTAGCTGTTGTCCTTGACCTTCACTTCTCCCATGACCCTGCAATCTCCCTTTAGAAGGACACTGCAAACCCTTCACTCTGAGGATCACCCTGCCTGGATCTCTCTCTGCCAACCCATCCAGTTGCCCAGGACTGTTGGACCCCTACCGTGTGTTGACTAATCTTTGTCTTCCATCCCTTGCTGTGCCCGTGACTGCTGCCTCCTGAACTGCTACCTACTATTGCTGCCCTATGAACATATGCCCTAGGGTTTCTGCCCTGTGAATTGCTGCCTATGAACTGCTGCTTGTGAACTGTTACTCACTGTTCTTTCTGCTGATCCCTGGTTGAGCCTGGGGTGCCCTGTGATCCTCAAATTATTTGTTGCTACCCATATTTTGTGTTTAGTCTCCCTGTGTGTAACACAACGGTACCTTGCTCCTACTTCTGTGCACTGGAATTTCCCAACCCACTCCCCGCACGTTGACATCTTGTGATTCTCTCTCTCTTTCGTGTCATAGTATGCCAATATCAGTGGGGTGTGTATTTACCTATACCACAACTTGATAATAGAGGGAGGGCACAAGCCTGGGAGTTGGCCTGCACCCATGGCTGTTGTATGCAGTCGAGTTGAGCCTTTTAAAGTGCCGCTAAGTTGTAAGCTGGCCAGTGGAAGACTATATAATGTCAGAGAATAGGGAGATAGAGACTATTAAAGGCCATGATTATTTATTAACATATAGTATAACATTGATCTGCACTCCAAGGTAGCAAAACACACCTATCCTAGGAAGTGATTGAGCAGATCATTGTAACCTATCACCATCCATGTTACATGGATATACTGTATATAAACCATTGGTGGCTGGGAGGTGAGGTCAGGGGAGGCAGGTGGGGGCAGAGCCTCACCTGGTATTATGGAGGAAAAAGCTGTCAGTTTCAAGTCTGAAGCTGACAGCTTTTTCTCCATTCAGATCGGCTTCTAACAGGTTACATAGCAGGGAAATGCTCCACGCTGTGTAACCTGTCATGGACGGAGCGCTGGATGTTAATTACAGGCAGCGATGTACCCGGCTTTTGCAGGTAGTTAGGTTACACAGCAGCGGACTTCCCCACTGCTTGTGTAACCTAACTATTGAGACTAGAGCTGTCACAGCCTCTACTCTTTGTTACAGGCGTGAGCTCTGTGGATGGCTTGGACCAATGGCAAAGCTCTATTGGTCCAAGCTGTCCAATCAAAAAAAGAGAAAACAAAATACTGAGGCCATCGATCTCAATACCTCAGCAGTGACGAGCAAGTGAGGGACAGGGAGGCTCCTTCCTTCCTCCTTCACACTAGGTTGGGGGCGGGACTTCAGCCAGCGGGGGGCAGGGCGGGACGTGCTGGGGGCGAGGCTGGGAAATGCCTCACCCGGAACCATAGGCATAGGTAGTGCATGTCACTGATTGGTGGTAAGTTACCTTGATCCAATGTATCCAGCTAAATACATTCCAAATGCATCAATACAAAAGGTGTAGAAAAGTCTCAGAGTTCATTAGGCTCAATTCGCAAAGCCTTTACACAAGGATAAGTGTCTCTATTTTAACCACATGACTGTAATTCCAATATCTCTTTATACTCTGAAGAAAAATACAATCACTTGTTTTATTAACAAATATCCTTATCCTGATTTTTTAGCTGTTTGAATTGAGCTATTTTTACCTGGAAGCGCCCTAAATCTCTAAAATATAATTTACAGTAAAGAAAAAAAAAACAATTCACATTATCTGCTGTCTCCAAAAAGCTCAGAAGATCTGACTCCAGAAAAGGGGCTCTTTTGAATATTTGACTCTGGGGTCACATAGACATTAGGGCCACACATCTGAAAACTCAACAAGCAGAATTGTCAAGAACTGGAACATTTGCTGCCTATGACATTTATATAGAGCTGATCACGTGACAATTTTGAGTCCATTTCCAGCCTCCGGGAATCGGAAATATATTCACAAGTAATCACCAGGAAGGAAGCAATCTACCCGCCATGGAGTTCGTGTGACCATCACAAATCAGTCAATGGTCAAGTCAAAACTTGTCCCTAAAACAGGATATCCGTGCCAGAGCTCAGGGGAACAGCTGATTCTGCAGGAAGCTAAAACTTTTTTACATCAAGGAGCAGCGCCGTCCATTGTAAGTGATTTCATCAGCATTTAAAATACCTTAAAAACCTTTTGACTTTAATATCACTTTAAGGGAGTTATTCACAAAAGGGTGAAGAGTTTGGAGAAGGCCGGAGAAGTGAACAATCTAGGACAACATGGCAGATTTGGAAACATTCTCTAATTCAGCTCACTTCCCAGTTCAGGTATGTTGTTCTAGATTGTTCACTTCTCCGGCCTTCTCCAAACTCTTCACCCCTTTGTGAATAACACTGTAAGTCTTTTACACTTTTGCCGCCAGTGAATGAGCACATTATTAAAAAGACAATAAAATCATACAGAATGGGTACAAAGATCACACGATGGTTAAAGAGTAACATGTGAGCAATGGAACACACAATGGAAATTCATCTGAGGTGTCTTATCTACTGCTGAATAGCACAGTCCAGGGAGCGCGGGATCACAGTCCCACCTGCTGCAAGCGGATTGGACGATGAAGGAGCAGAGGTACATACCTGCACATTAGCAGAATTCCCCCCACAGTTCTGCATGTCATGTTGTTCTTCCTTCACTTCTACTTTGCAGTCATCAGCTAGTTGCAAGGGTGAACGCACTTTCAGATAAAGTACACTTACCTACCCAGCCTAGCTCCTCCAAGATCTAAACTACCCCAAAATAACACCCAGGTGAACTGTATTCAGCTGCTGGAAAGAGAAGCAACACCAGGACACAACCCATTGTGCTGCAGCAGAGCCTTAGCAATCTCCTTTTGCACCCGAGGCAAGAACAAAAAAATTGTGTATTTATTTTTATTATTTTGTATTTATTTTTATTATTTTTTTATTTTAATTTTTTTACTGTTGGGGGGGCTTCGGTAAATATCAGCGGTCTGAACAGACCCCTGACATTTCCCTTTTGAAATAGAAAAAGAAATTGAGGACACAGAGTCCTCAATCTCTTTTTCTGCAGCTTTTGTTCTAAATGAATGGAAAGCAGTCAGTAGAGAAGCTTCCCATTCATTCACAAAGTGGTGATAGTAAAATATTTACAATCATCCAGTTATGAATGGGTAGAATCCTCTATTGTGAGTGCTACTACCCATTCAGAAACTCATGAATTACAGGAAGTGATGTAAAGCACTTCCTGTTTATTCATAACTGGGTACAAACATTGGAGTGATCAGGTGATCTCCCCAGTGTTTGCTCTGCACAGAGGATCAGATATCATATCACAGATATCCCGCTCTTCATCCTGAGTTGCTTGGCCATGCAGAGCCTTCAGCTTCTCTTTGTATCCCCTCTACAGTACACATCTTGTGTTTAACTAGATCTGTCAAGTGTTAATTGGCGTTCTGCAATTAGGCTTGGTTGACTTTTCATTAGAGTTTTGTGAGACCCCCCTCATAAACAACTAGGCCAAATATAAACACTAGGGATGCACAGATACTGGTTTTACAGTGTTGAGTATGAGTACCGATCTTTTTCTTCTAAACTTGCAGATACCGTATACCGATACCGGAAGTCCCATAAAAGAAGCTGGGCGGCTTCCTGAATTACCGGGAAGCCATCTCCATGCTCCCTCGTCACCAGGTGACGATGAAGCATGGAGCCGGCTTTCTGGCCAATCAGGGAGCCGGTGGGCGGGTAATGACTCGCTCCCCCGGAATGGACTACAATCTCATGTTTAGTTTACTAATTTGTATTGAGATTGTAGTCCATCCCGGGAGCGAGCTTGGAGCGGTGACTACTTTACAACACACACAGGGACCATGGAGAACAAAAGTAGCCCCCCTCCAGAAGGAAGGACAGTGTCAGCACCAATTCAGAGATGATTGGAGGATCTACAGCCGAGTGTTACACCAATAAGAGACATTGTTGTTCAGAGTTCAGGGACTTGAATGGATTTTTGAGGTTTAAGTTTTAAGTTTTGAGTTTAGTGTCACTTTAAACTAGATCTAAAAACAAACAGCAGTTTCGCTTAACAAGAGAACATAAAAGAAGCCAAAGGAGAAGAAAAGTAAACACGATGCTGAAAAGCTGCAGAGTATAAAGGAACAGTGATTGCGGAGTTATAAGGGTAGAGCAAAAGGGGGGGGGAGGGGGGGAGCTGCAGCGAAATACCTCGGCTTTA